CCCCTTTTTATGCAGAGGATTTCGGGCAAGTTAGGTCAACTTTGTCCCCAGGATGCGACCCGCGACCCACAACAGTCGGCTAACACCCAGGTACCTATTTTACTGCTAGGTAAACCGAGACAGCAGGTGTCTTATAGACTCCTGCAAGCCCATGTGTCCTTGACCTCGCATTTATTCTCTATCGATAAGTAGTGGAAGTTACTTATCGGTTGGGAAGTCCTCTTCAAGGGGGGCTCCAATCCTCCCTTTCCTATCCCATCCTCCCTATCTCCCCTTTTCCCTTTCCCCCCTCCCAACCCTCCTTTTTCTCCTTCCCATTTGTAGCATGCTTTGTGGTGGGTTTCCGACTGCCCTCTTTTTTGTCTGCCGAGGTGGCTCGGTAGATATGAAGTTTGCTGATTTACTGGCATGAAAGTATGGCACAGGTTCCATGCTGCATTTGCACTGCTGGTGGTCTCAGATGAGAGGGGGAATTTACGACCCTTTCGTACTTTCTAGTGACTGTACCTCTGCTGTCCATCTCTTTTTTTTCCTTTCCTTCTTTCTTTTTTTTTTCTTTAAAATAATAAGAAGTACCACCATCATGGAGTCTTTGTTCTGTGTCAGTCCTCCTCCTCCTCCCAGACCCCTTTTGTTATCTCATCCTATTCTGACCTGGCTTCGTTATTGGACCATTCCTATCACAGTACACAAGCATGCTACTCTCAATTCTTGCAGTGGTATGGTGGTTTTACTGCGTACCATTGTACAGTGTGATTTTCTGTCTTGTGGTGATATTTTGGAGCAATTAGCCCTTCAGGACCTTCCAATTCTCATAGTGGATACATATGTCCTGCCTGCTCACGGGCGGAGGCACTTTTCCAGTAACATCGCCTGCTTAACCTTAGACTGCTGTGAACTCTCCTCTTCCGTTTATATCACGGGCCATCGCCTAGGGGTCTGTAAATTGGTCCCTGTACCCTAACAGTGTCAAAATTGCTGGCGTTTCGGACACTGCATTAAATACTGCAGATCTGTGGCAGAATGCTTGGTCTGCAGTGCCACGGATTGTGTTGATACATCTTCCAGTCTTCCCCCACTTGTCTTAATTGTAATGAACCTCATCCTTCTTTTTCCTGCTGTCAGGTCTATCTTAATGAATGAGAAATCCATTGTCTTTAGGAGAACAAAGGCCTTACTATGGCTGTCTCTCAGCTCCACCTTCAGGGGAATCTTCATCATGTTCCTTATTCTCGAGTAGCTAGACCTCCAACCTACCGCCTACCAGCTCCTCTGGTGCCTTGTCTTCTGGGGTCACCCCTGTCTCTAATTATTTTGCAGTTTTACCCTCTGAAATCCCCACCTCCTTACCTCTTCCTACCCCTACCTCTTCATCTTCTCACCCCCTAGTTTCTCAGTCTGCAAGGCCTCGCATGCCAGCCCCTTCTTCGAGCTTATCACTTGCGAAGTTAAGCTGTCTCCTAAGCCCAAATCTCTTTGAACTCCTCCAGTGCTTAGAGTTCCCCAACAGTTCTCCTTTTTGGCCTCAGTGCCTAGTTCTCACCCCCTTTCTAACTCTCATATGAAGGTGGAGGTTCACCCCCCTCATGTGGTTCCCTTTTCTCCTGTTCCCCCTTCCCAAACTTCCCCAGTTCCCCTCCAGCCTCCTTTATCCTGTTCCACTGCAGGACTCTTCTGTCCCTGCCGGCACATCTCTCCAGGTTCATGCTCCCCTTCCCTCCCCTCTCAGACCTCTCTGGATCCATCCATAGTCTCCCCGATCTCTACTTGCTCTACCTCACCTGTCTCTGAAGTCATGACATTGGCATCTTTTTTGTCCGCTGAAACACTTGATGCTATCTCCAAGTATACTGCAGAGACGAAACTCTCAATTGACACCTGTGCACCTCCTTATGTCCCTTCTTATTTTTCACAACCTTCGCAACAATCTTTTCCTTCACAGCATTCTGGTTCCTCCTTGTTCACACACTTTCCGTTACCTCCACACATTGACTTCATTGACCCTAATAGCCCATAGATTTTATAGCATTTCAACAGGTCTTTGTTCGTTCTCAGCTGTATTATACTGCAGCCTGTATTCATTTGCACAGGTGGTATACAGTTTGCTCTCTATATCTCTCCCCTTAATGTGCATTCTGTATCTTGGATGTTGCGTTCTTGATCTCTTCTCTGCCGCCGCCCATCTAGTTGGAGACTTTTCTCACTTCTCATTCTTTTCATGCTTTAAATACAGGTGCTCCCACCTATTTTCACACTTGCATTCAGTCTCTTTCTTGCATAGCTCTTTCTATCTGTTCCTCATCATTTGCCCTTGATTACATTAGGTGTGTTCTCCCGGTTGGGAATACTGCATATTCCCAACTACCTCGTAACCCCATTGGCAATTTGAACGAGCGAATTGGGGCTTATACTCTCATCTTAACATTTTATGTGAGAACAATTCTTCATCCTCTTTTGATGAGCTGGTGCACCAGTTTTCGACCTTAGTTTTGACCGTAGCATCATATTCTATTCCTCAAACCTCAGGCAGGCATTCTTAGACATGAATGCCTTGGTGGTCTCCTGCGTGTGCCTGTGCAGTGCATTTGAAACATGCTGCGTGGGGGTGTTATCGATATAATCGGACTGCAGATCGTCTTTTGGATTTTTAGTAAGGGCAGTCACTCGCTGCATCATACACAATATTAAACGCACTTGTTGGCAAAACTACATTTCTACTGTTGCCTTGATTTCCCATATATGTGTGCGGTTTGAAAGAAGATACGAAAGTTGTGTGGCAAGTACATTCAGGACCCAGCTCCCATTTTGCGGGTTGCTGGTGTTAGGGAACCTCATGAGGTTGCCATGGAAATCAGGAACTATCTTGTCCATTTCTCCCAAGGGCTTCATCTCTGTCCCTCGTTTCTCATTTCTAAGTCTGCCAGGGAGCACTCACCCTTGGATTTCTCTTCTAATGGGATGGAGCCACATAACATACCTTTTACTTTCTTAGAGCTAGAGTCCACACTTTCTGCTTGCCTGTCATCAGCAGCTAGGCCTGATAATATTCCATATGCCTTGGTGCCTTTCGTTCATCCCTTGTCGAAAGCCTCTATGCTGAGGTGAATGTTCCATCCTTAGCCGATCGTTGTGATGCTCATTGTCGTCATTACTTCATTCACTCTTATGAACTTCGTGTTCCTGCTATGTATAGGTTGGTCTCAAACATTAGTAGAAGCCCATTATTTGTTCAATGCCCCTGCTTACTCCGACTGTTTTCTCATCTTCACTCACTCCAATCTTCTCTCCAGTTGCCTCCCTTGTATGTTCATGTAGGGTCTGCCTTTTCCCTTCCCCTTTGGGACGTTCCAGTGGTTCGTGTCTGTTCTCCCCTACTACCGTACGCTAAAGCTCTCCTACCTACGGCTGCTTCTCACTCTTTTTTTGATCGCTTCCAATCACATGCGCATGCTGTTGCTGTTTATACAGATGGTTCTAAATCTTCTGATGGTATTGGGTTCGTGGCAATGTTCCCTGACGATGTTGTCCAGGGTCATTTGTTAGACTCTGCTAGTATTTTTACCGCTGAGTTGTATGCCATCTTCATAGTGCTTCGTATTACATGTGTGTCTCCAGCGTTTGTGATCATTTCAGATTCCCTCAGTGCTTTACAGGCCATTAAACAATTTGATTCCCCTCATCCACTGATGCTTCATATTCATCTTCGGTTGTGCTGTGTGGCTAGCAAAACCAAAGATGTCATTTTCTGTTGGGTTCCTGGACAGTTGATGAGAAGGGCAATGAACAAGCAGATGCTGCTGCGTGGTCAGTGGTACTTGACCTTCCAGTTCCCTATAGAGGTATTCCATTCAGGGATTATTTTAGTCATCTCTGCCAATCTTCGCAGCCATTGGCAACAATAGTAGCCGGACATGCACCATAACAAATTGCACTCTATTAAACCGCTTATGGGTCTGTGGATATCTTCTATCCACAGTTGCTGTTCCCGGGATACTGTGCTCTCCCGTCTCCGCATCTGCCATACTCACCTTACCCATGGGTATCTCATGGAACGACGCCCTATTCCTCTCTGTGAGGTATGTCGGGTCCTTATTCTGGTTCTTCGCTTTCTTGTGGATTGTTTGGTTTGCCAGGGAGTTCATAGGATTTACCTCCGATGCCACCACCCTACCACTCTTACCTTATCTTCCCTTCTTACAGACGGCCCTGCCTTTGACTTACGATCATTTTGTGACTTTTTGTCAGCAACTGCTTTACTGTACAAACTTTGACGCATAGCCCCTAGCATCCCTTTCAGCCCCTTTCTCCCCTTACCTCTGATCCCTTCTCCATCTAGCTGTTTATAGGCCCAGCGCTATTTTCTGCTCTGCAGCGCTGCATGACCCTTGTCGGTTTAGCGCTTTATTATTTGATTATAATAATTGGTCGGGAAGTGTAATGTACTGAAAGTGCAACTGTGAATTTATTTTACATGTTAAAAAATATATAAAAGCATATTTTATTTGATACGTATAAAGATTATCGCGTTACAAGCAGTGCTGTATGACCCTTGTGGGTTTACCTGTTAGTTTTGATTGTAATAATATCATGTTACAAGAAATATGCCCGTGACAAAAGAATTAAGCCTAGTGGAAAACTTAAATCTTTCCCGCGCTTATTCAGGGTTCGTAACAAACGTTCGTGTAAAATTAAAATAATAATTATTTGAGATTGTTTATAGTATTATGTCCAAAATATAACAAAGATTATACAATCAATACATTAATAATAATCGATTTATATGCAGTGCACAAGTCAATTATTTGTTATTTGTTTATATACACGGATTAATGCATCACAATGGGTAGCATTGCTGTTTTCTTTAAATTAGCTTGTTTATTTCTAGATTTATATATTTTTAAATTCTCTTATATGTTGGTATTCAAATTATACCGTTAAGGATTAAGATCACGAACAAATTAATATATTTCCTACATTTGTGAATCAGTATCTGTCAAACATGGCGTCTATCCGTAGTCGTCATTGACGTTTGTCCTGTGTAGCGTGGTGATTTTCAGTGAATGGTGAATCTTAAAGTGCTACCTGTGTGATCACAGTGTGTATAAAGTTCAGTGAAAATGGCGGAGGCAACTGAACCGCCTATTGAAGATGTTAAACGGCCAGAGGATGTGGTTAAAGTGGCCATGGCGGATAACTTGAAGTTTGCCGTGTTGATAGGGCTTATTGAAGTGGGACAAGTTTCTAACAAGGAGGTTGTCAACACAGTCCTGCAACTGGTAAGTAGTGAACAAGTAAATACTGTTTCTTCCAGGACTGTCAAGTAAAGAGTAATTTGACGTGACATGCAAGCAACAATGAGGTTTGAAAGATTTCGTCTGCTAGAGCGTCATCACTCGGTGGTTGCTGGACCCAGACGGAGCATAAATTCATGTTTACACCAGCATTTCTTTGATTACCGGATGCGTGCAGGAATTTGTTGCATCTGAGATACACAAAGTGTAATCAATTAAGAGAAAATAAATATTAAAATATAGGTAAGTTTAACATAGTGGGTTTTCAATGAATATTATGAATGGTTAGGCTTGCTGAGTGGCCGCGACCCTCGAGTGACTGCGGGATTTTACCGTCTCTACAGCAGTATTTGTGTGTAATATTCACCTCACCTCACCTGCCCTCACCTGGCCTTCACACTATGCTACGCTACTCTATGAGAATCCCCCGATTTATTGTTGGCAGTTTGGCCTGTTGTTAAGGCCTACCGTCCTCTAATAAAATTATAAACTACTGAAGCAGTGCCTAATACAAATTGTTTACCAAATGCTCTTAAGTACCGTACACACACTGATATTTATTTGCGTTTTATTTCTAGGTGTTCGTTTTATATGTAAATGTAAGATGTAAGCCAACGAGAACTGCTGCTTTGTGTTTTAACTAGTCAGTGAGGCTCAAGAACTGATGCACTAGACTAGAAACATTTGTTTTGTAGAATTTTGTAGTATTGGTAATTGGTCCATAATATTGAAAGCTGTTCAGTAGCATAATTTTATTGATTCAGATTATAAATGATTTTGAAGAGTTGTAGAAATAATCTCGATTCAATTAACAAAACTTATCACTTGTGCATATTTATAACTGCTATATATCCAGTATTGTGTTTTTTTTAGTTACTAATACAGTATGTACTGTAATGCGTACAACAGTATATGACTATCTGTGATTGAGGCATAAGTACTTACGTTCTTTAATTTTGTGTAGAAGATATGCTGCACTAGGCAATCTGTAACAGCAATCTGTCTCTCATCCAATATTTTTACTGAAGAAAAATGGCTTCATTAGTAAATAAAGTAAAATATTTGTATTGAATGCATAAACTAAATAATGATAATAGAAGTTTACTTTGAAACTGGTGTTTTGTTTGAGGTTATTTTATATAAAGAAAATTACCCACTACTGGTGCAGGTTTTCTGTACATGATCAGAAGTCATGAATGTTTTCATTCTAAATTAGAAAATGTAAGGTTTGGGAAAGGTATATCTCCTGACTGGTATCCTATCTACCTAGTGATGTTTGTAAGAGTTTGTGAAATTGAAAGGAAAATTTAAATCTTAAATTTACATTGAAGTACTACTGTACTATACCTCCATGTATTGCCAACACTTTCCTGATTTTTGGACAAGCCTCGGGTGTGAATATACCTCAGGCCTCCTTGTCACCCTGATTGGATTGTTTTATTCTTGGAATAATGGGAGATATTTAATGTGCAGGTACACAAAAGTGCCTACCTTGACCAACACCCAATTTCTTTTTAGTGTTGATCATCAGTTACATGGCAGCAAGGCCTCGAAGCTCTTTAGAGATCCAAAGCTTAAAAAGATAAATAAAGCAAATGGAGACCTTCGTTAATGACTTTCACCTACATGAGGCTTTATCAGTGTTTTTGATAAAACCTTGTAAGTCTCAATTTGCTTTGTTTTGTTACCATTTATTGGCTATGCTATACCTTAACTACCCCCAGAGATCCTGAACTCAACGCATGTTTTATATATATATATGTCGTGCCGAATATGTAAAACTGGTCAATTAGCAAGAACTCTTTTAAAATTAAGTCCTTTCCAAAATTTTCTCTTATACGTTTAAAGATATATTTTTTCATTAATGTTAATGTAAAAAATTTTAATTTTGCTCCAAAAGAATCTTAGAAAACTTACCTAACCTTATTATAACAAGAGCAATTTATTTTAGCCTAACCCAACTAAATATATTTTAGATTTGTTTACAATAATTTAATACTAAACAAACACAATGAAATATTTTTTTTTCGTTAGGTTCAGAATGATTTTGGCGAAATTATTGCATACACAAATTTTCGCTTGTCCTATATGGCAAGATGAGCGTTGCTATTTAAGCCAAGATTGCAAGTTCTGCCTATTCGGCACAACATAATATATATATATATATATATATATATATATATATATATATATATATATATATATAATATATATATATATATATATATATATATATATATATATATATATATTATATATATATATATATATATATAATATATATATATTATATATATATTATATATATATTATATATATATTATATATATATTATTATATATATTATATATATTATATATATATATATATATATATATATATATATATATATATATATATATATATATATATATATATATATATATATTTTATTATTATCACACTGGCCGATTCCCACCAAGGCAGGGTGGCCCGAAAAAGAAAAACTTTCACCATCATTCACTCCATCACTGTCTTGCCAGAAGGGTGCTTTACACTACAGTTTTTAAACTGCAACATTAACACCCCTCCTTCAGAGTGCAGGCACTGTACTTCCCATCTCCAGGACTCAAGTCCGGCCTGCTGGTTTCCCTGAACCCCTTCATAAATGTTACTTTGCTCACACTCCAACAGCACTTCAAGTATTAAAAACCATTTGTCTCCATTCACTCCTATCAAACACGCTCATGCATGCCTGCTGGAAGTCCAAGCCCCTCGCACACAAAACCTCCTTTACCCCCTCCCACCAACCTTTCCTAGGCCGACCCCTACCCCGCCTTCCTTCCACTACAGACTGATACACTCTTGAAGTTATTCTGTTTCACTCCATTCTCTCCACATGTCCGAACCACCTCAACAACCCTTCCTCAGCCCTCTTGACAACAGTTTTGGTAATCCCGCACCTCCTCCTAACTTCCAAACTACGAATTCTCTGCATTATATTCACACCACACATTGCTCTCAGACATGACATCTCCACTGCCTCCAGCCTTCTCCTCGCTGCAACATTCATCACCCATGCTTCACACCCATATAAGAGCGTTGGTAAAACTATACTCTCATACATTCCCTTCTTTGCCTCCAAGGACAAAGTTCTTTTGTCTCCACAGACTCCTAAGTGCACCACTCACCCATTTCCCCTCATCAATTCTATGATTCACCTCATCTTTCATAGACCCATCCGCTGACACGTCCACTCCCAAATATCTGAATACATTCACCTCCTCCATACTCTCTCCCTCCAATCTGATGTCCAATCTTTCATCACTTAATCTTTTTGTTATCTTCATAACCTTACTCTTTCCTGTATTCACTTTCAATTTTCTTCTTTTGCACACCCTACCAAATTCATCCACCAATCTCTGCAACTTCTCTTCAGAATCTCCCAAGAGCACAGTGTCATCAGCAAAGAGCAACTGTGACAACTCCCACTTTGTGTGATTCTTTATCTTTTAACTCCACGCCTCTTGCCAAGACCTTCGCATTTACTTCTCTTACAACCCCATCTATAAATATGTTAAACAACCACGGTGACATCACACATCCCTGTCTAAGGCCCACTTTTACTGGGAAATAATTTCCCTCTTTCCTACATACTCTAACTTGAGCCTCACTATCCTCGTAAAAACTCTTCACTGCTTTCAGTAACCTACCTCCTACACCATATATATATATATATATATATATATATATATATATATATATATATATATATATATATACACACACACACACACACACACACATACATACATACATACATACAGTGGACCCCCGGTTAACGATATTTTTTAATTCCAGAAGTATGTTCAGGTGCCAGTACTGACCGAATTTGTTCCCATAAGGAATATTGTGAAGTAGATTAGTCCATTTCAGACCCCCAAACATACACGTACAAACGCACTTACATAAATACACTTACATAATTGGTCGCATTGGGAGGTGATCGTTATGCGGGGGTCCACTGTATATATATATATATTATTTATTTATTTTCAGCTAAACCAATTTACTAAATATCTATATTAAACAAAACATTGGGGCATGTCCTTGGCTACAATATTCAATACACAAATAACCCGCACATAAAAGAGAGAAGCTTACTACGACGTTTCAGTCCGACTTGGACCATTAACAAAGTCACACTAACCAGAAGTGGAGCAGGACGGCTATATACACATGTATAGGCAGGAAGAGGTGGTGGTAGTAGTAGTAGTAGGATCAGCACAAGAATGGTATATAATACCGACAAGATGAAATTAAGACACATGCGCAACACCTGGGCATCCCTATCGTAGACGTTTCACCATCCAGCCAGCCACTGGATGGCGAAACGTCCACAACAAAGACAACCAGACGCCGCACATGTGTCTTAATTTCATTAGTAGTAGTAGTAGTAGAAGAGGTAGTAGTAGTGGTAGTGGTAGAAGTGGGGAATAAGGAGGACGAGCCAGTCAAATACAAAGGAAGGGGAGCACTGCAAGAGAGCTAGGTGCCCACAGAGGGAGAGCAAGCGCACAGAGGTGTGTGAAAGGGGAAGTGGCGAAATAAATGAAGGAACAGAAACACGAGACAGAAGAGAGAAAGACAACCCAGAGGAGAAAAGGAAAGAGGAAGGGGAAGAGGGAGAAGAAGAAAAAGAAAAAGAAAAAATGAGGAGTCAGTGCGGCGTCTGGTTGTCTTTGTTGTGGACGTTTTGCCATCCAGTGGTTGGCTGGATGGCGAAACGTCTATGATAGGGATGCCCGGGTGTTGCGCATGTGTCTTAATTTCATCTTGTCGGTATTATATACCATTCTTGTACTACTACTACTACTACTACTACCACCACCTCTTCCTCCCTATATATAGCCGTCCTGCTCCACTTCTGGTTAGTGTGACTTTGTAAATGGTCCAAGTTGGACTGAAACGTCGTCGTAAGCTTCTCTCTTTTATGTGCGGGTTAT